AACATTAAAAAAAGAAGGAAGGGAGATAAGGACGATAGATGTTTGATAGGAAAGAAGAAGCAAACCACACCAGACCACCTGCCAACCACCCACTCACATCATGATTAGTCCACAAAATGTATGATGCAAATAAATATGAGACGACATGTCCCCCTGCGTTGGCCCTTCGGCGCCCGCGAGCGGAACACACAACTCCTGGCAGAGGTTTTATCGCTTCACACGCCGCTTTCAACAAGGTCGCGGCTATTTTGAGAGGCGGGATCTTTAAATGTCACGTAACATTTTAGTTTTTGTACATGATGTTTTACAGCACTCGCAATGCAATTAGGTCACCGTCACACACACAACACACACACACACACACACACACACACACACACACACACACACACACACACACACACACACACACACACACACACACACACACACAGCCGAAGATAAGAGGTGTCACAAGAGAGTTGAAACGTAACATACAAAGAAAAGAAGAAGGGAGGAGAGATAAGGATGAAGGATGTTTGAAGGAAAGAAAGAAGGAGCAAGCCAGGCCACACGTGTCCGCCCGCCCGCCAACCACCCACTCCAATCTAATAGCGACATTCATCTCCGATGGAACAGAGCCAAGCGTTTGGAATTTGGAGGGCTTGAGGAAGATTCTCAACAAACAAACAAAACCCACCCCACTCAAGTTCAAGTTCAAGGTTGGGGGGGAGTCGAACCACGGTTTTCTGAACCCGTGTCCCAGCACTATACCAGCTGAGCTAACGGCGCCAGTCTTGCTGTTAAGTCGAGGCTAGAGACGTGAGCAGAGTAAGCCTGATTCCCCGCTTGGACTTATTTGTTCTGTCCCCGGGTAAGATTGAAGAATACCGGACCGGCGGACTGACTTTGCCTATGTCTCAACCTTAGGAATTCATAATTTTCCCGTTTTTAATATCTCTCAATGGAGAATCTCGGACCGGTAGATCTATTCATTATAGTTTTGTCAGGGGGGAGACCCCCCTGAACCCCCTCCTCCACCCCAACCACCCGCCCCACATTCTCGCACAATAATATACGAGTGGTCCGGTATTCTTCAAGCTTCTCTGTCCCCGTAGTTTTATGTGCTTATGTCCTTATGTATTTTCGTTTGTTTCTGAGGTCGACAGTCCCCAATGCTTGTGGTCTGTCCCTTTTTAAAACTCTTACGACAGGTCATATTATATGTCTATTCCCTGCTTTGTTGCAGCAAGATTAGGTAAACATAATCCTACTTCTTTACATTCCCCTCTGTTGTTTCTGTCTGTCTGTCTGTCTGTCTGTCTGTGTGTCTGTCTGTCTGTCTGCTCACAACAGCAACACAACACTTAGTTTAAGTAGGAGTTTGGAGAGGGGAGGGGGGGAGGTTCGTTTTTTTTTTCTTTTTCGTTTTAGCAGAAGTTTTTCGGCGCTCGCAACGGCATAAGGTCATAATATGAGCTCCAATAGTAGAAGTTTTACGGCACTCGCAGTTAACTTAGGTCGAATAATACACTGTCAAAGATAAGAGATGAGTCACTTGATAGCAACACACAAATTAAAAAAAAAGAAGTGGTGAGGGTGAGGAGGAGGAGAGAGAGATATCAGGGCGACAGGGTCGACAGATGCGTGTTAGGAAAGAAGGAGCAAATCCCACCAGAGCACCCGCCAACCATCCACTTGGGCAATCCGCATTAATAAAGTGCATTACGGTAAAGAACGACTTAGTTTTGAAAAAAAAAATTTTTAATCTCACATTACCTTACCACATTGACATACTACACGTCAGACACGGGTAGCATTTATTTTGTTTTAGTAAGATTTTACGGCGCTCGCAACACATAATAAGGTCATATGAGTGCCGAAGATTAGAGGCGTTACAAGAGAGTGACAAACACAAAATAGAAGGAGGGGAGGTAGGCCTACGGACGATAGATGTTTGATAGGAAAGAAGGAGCAAGCCACACCAGAGCACCCGCCAACCACCCACAACAACGCAGTAAAACCATCTCACGTTACCTCACCACATTCACAAAACACACGTCAGACACGGGTAGCATTTCGTGGGAACATCACAAGAGTACTATCTCAACAAGTTGCGGACACACAAGAAGAATCATTTAGAGATGTCTGCTTATCTTCTTAAATTTAGTTTTAGTTTTAGTAAGAGTTCTACGGCACTTGCAACACAATAAGGTCATAATAACATGAGTGCCGAAGATTAGAGGCGTTACAAGAGAGTAACAAACACAAAATAGAAGGAGGGGAGGTACGGACGACAGATGCTTGATAGGAAAGAAGGAGTAAGTCACACCAGAGCACCCGCCAACCACCCACTCTCATTATAATACACGTCAGACACGGGTAGCATTTCGTGGGAACACCACAAGAGTATTATCTCAACAATCTCAACAAGTTGCGGGAACAAGAAGAATCATTTTAGAGATGTCTGCTTATCTTTTTTAAAGGTAATCCCATCGGAAAACAGTCGTAGCTTAGTGACACAACTTGCGTTATCACATCTCGCTGGCTACACGTTGATAAGACGGTGGTGTGTTAATGTTAACCCTATCCGTACGTCGTGTTTTACTATCGTATCCATACGACGTGGGGGGACTCTGAGCCACCACTTTCCAAAGTGGAAATTTACTCGTTAATCCGATCCATACGCTTTGCATAGCAATCTGTCACAATAATTTTTTGAGAAATACTGAAAGTTTCAAAGAGATCTTCGAACAAGAAGTATTCTAAAATATGAAGAATACAACCACGGGGTAGTACAAAATTACCCCAGGCCATACGGATAGGGTTAAGAAAGCCAGAATCACAGGACGTTACGGGGTCATTTTGTGATGATGATAAGTGAAACTTCAGAGATACACGTACAGTAAAGGTAACAAGGGAGGGAGGGGAGGGATGACCGGGCCAAAAATACATCATGTTATAACGTTTAAGTTTTTCATATGGGTTTTACGGCACCTACAGCACAGTTTTTTTGGACTTACTTTGTTTTGTTTTGTTTTGAGTTTTAGCAGGAGGTTTACAGCACTTGAAACACAAATAAATAGGTCATATCGGTGCCGAAGATTAGAGGTCTTGGTCTTACTCTTACTAGAGAGCAACGTACAAAGAGAAAAAACGAGAACAAATAGGGACGACAGATCTATGTTTGATGGGAATGAAGTAGCACACCCCACCAGAGCACCCGCCAACCACCCACACACCATTTGCTACACAAAATAGGTCATACAAAGTGCCGAAGATTAGTTAGAGGTCTTGGTCTTGCCAGAGAGTAACATACAAAGAAAAGGAGGAGGAAAGATTTAAAGGACGATAGACGTGGGGGTTTGGGGTTAAAAAAAAATAGTTTTAGGAGTTTTTACGGCACAAGACCTCTAACTAATCTTCGGCACTTGCAACACAATAAGGTCATACAAGTGCCGAAGATTAGTTAGAGGTCTTGGTCTCTTGGTCTTACTTAGAGAGTAACATACAAAGAAAAGGAGGAGGAATGATGTAAAGGACGATAGACGTGGGTTTTTTGTGTTTTTTTTAGTTTTAGAAGTTTTTACGGCACTTGCAACACAATAAGGTCATATAAGTGCCGAAAAATAAATAGATGAGTTATAAGAGAGTAACTTACACCAAAAAGAAGGAGAGATAAGGACGATAGATATACTTGGGCCTTCCCTTTTTTATCATTTGTATGTATGTATGGCTGTGTGTGTGTATTTGACAGGAAAAAGGAGCAAACCACACCAGAGCACCCGCCAACCACCCACGGATAGATGTTTGAAAGGAAAGAAGTAGCAAGGCAAACCTCACCAGAGCACCCGCAAATTGGTCCATTATAGAGCAACATGCGAAATTTCTGAAGCGTGCATTAATTGATTGATCTCGTTCAAAAGGCGTGAATAAATTATAAACAACACAATAGAACTGTCGGGGTCTGTAGTGTGTGTGCGTGCGTGCGTGCGTGTGTGCGTGTGTGTGTGTGTGTGTGTGTGTGTGTGTGTGTGTGTGTGAGAG